TATTAGTTACATGTACTGGTGTACATGTACGATGTCATTTACATGCACAACATGTATGATGTCATTTACATGCACAACATGTATGATGTCATTTACATGCACAACATGTATGATGTCATTTACATGCACAACATGTATGATGTCATTTACATGCACAACATGTACGATGTCATTTACATGCATAACATGTATGTGTCCGATGTCATTTACATGTACATGTACAATGTATGTGTCCGATGTGGTCTTCTTTTGTTGCTGCTGTTGCCGTATTGTTATTATTTTGTCACATCACAAACAAGCAACTACTGTACTGTACTAGTATGCATTCTTACATGTGTGCGGCTACATGTTTATGAAGAAATTAGCTAAGGAGGAATGGAGTGACTAGCAGTAGCAGAGGATGTTTTAAGCTTCATGAATTTACTTAACAGAATAGCAAATTCGCGAAGTCGAGGTAGCGATTTCGGCGATCCAGCGCAGAGAATGTGGTTGTCTTTCTACATTCCGAACGTGCAGTTCGCGCATTTCCCACCGACTGGACTGACTGACACGTGACTGACTGACACGTGACTGACTGACACTCATGACTGACATTCAGAGCACACGAGATGTCCATCGAACCTTCAAATAAAGTACAGTCGTCCCTCTCTAATCCGGCACCTTTTGCTACGGCATTTTCTGCTGGATTAACGAGGGTGCTGGATTAAGAAATCCTGCCCTCTGACCCGGCCCTACCCAATTACATGCATGTATCATACGTCAAAACGCAGGGTTTTTCCGTGTCGACCCCAGTATTTGGTGCACGGCTTTATATTCTCAACTTTTCTCCAGGAATATACACAGTGATAAAGTAAAACAGAGAACATGTTCACATGTATACATACTCTTGCACACACACGCACAGTCGATTTACGACTAGTAAGTAATAGTAGTAGTAGTAGTAGTAGTAGTAGTAGTAGTAAAAATAAAAAAATTCACGGTTCGCGTGAGACTCGGCTGGAAGCCGGGCTTTCCGCATCCGTAGGAACGCCACCACCCTTCAAGGATCAAGGCGCAGGTGCAGCTCCTAAAGCGGTGGGAGGTGAGTAGATCAGCTCACCAGCAAGTGGTCAAAGACCGAAAATCCCATTCACTGCATCCATGTTTTCCTCGTGCCAGGCCACGAGTTCCCAATTAACTGTGGGTCGCAGCACGGCTGGAAAAATTCCTTCCGCTTCCAAGCAGGACTTGAACCTGGTACCCTCTGTTTCTCAATCACGGTCTTAGACCATCCCACTATGCCTGCCTGCCTAGTGCCTGTAGTAGTAGTAGTAGTATAAATATTATTTTACTAGGGAACTCCCAACAGGCGTTGCCTTTTTACTGGGAACCCAAGGACTGCCGGATTATGAAATCAAACTACGTGCAGTTTGAGCGATTCGTTTCAAAAAGTCACTGCCGGAGGCGGTGCCGGATTAAGATGTAGGAATTGAACGAAAAAAATCGGTTTCATCAGAAAGTGCGCCGGTTGGCAAGGGTTCCGGATAAACAAGTGCCGGATTAGAGAGGGACGACTGTATATACAAAAACAAACAACCTTAGACTCGACAAACCAGCAGGAAAGCACCACTCCCTCCTCAAAGCACAGTGTTTCGGGGAATTCACCCGTCATGCATCTTTTGAGCTTGAGTAAGCTAATGAAACTTTGGCAACCGGAGCACTACAATGATGTTCTAGCAACCCAAACATCACTGGGCATACCAACTTACAGTGACACTCCGTTTCCAGCGCTACAAACCTCGCGAACTCCGGACAGCAGCGTGAGTCAGTGTCGCCCAAGGACGTGCAGTACAAGCGCGGAGGACCATCGCCGTCGGCCATGTATTCACAAAGTAATACCTCCAGGCCATCTTGTCGCAGACCTGCCCTGGGGCACGACGGTTGTGCTTTCTTGCAGCTTTGCCATGGGGACGGTTGGATGGATCCTTCTTGTGTGCTGTGGATGGCAATACCGCGTCCTGAGTCAATCAAGTGACAAGACAGTCAAGACACTGCAGGAAAAGCGCGAACTCCCCATGGTACGTACTTCGAAGTAGGGAGCAGGGAGTCGTACAACACAACACCCTGGCAGAAAGCAACGCACGCTGTCTCTGAAATCATCAATAAGGTCAAGCAAGGCGAATGTGGTGGTCTCATTCTTTCTAATCCTGTTGTGCTTCAAAACAAGGTTGTCTCTCCAGCATCAGCATCTGCTCCAAGTCGGGATGGGTGCTTGCGACGATATTGGTTGTCGCTCATGGAAAACTCTCTCGGTATCGGAGGTGTCCTTACAAAACGTGTTAGCATACGTAAAGTGTCTACCCCTGGCGATCCCGTCGTCCTGCAGGGTGCGCTGATAATTCCCCTGTTATGTCAGACTATGAGCAGATCTGCCTTCTATCCGGACATAACGCTTGATTCTCTACAGCACTGTACTGCCTGCACTGTTCTCTCTACTTGTGCTAGTAAAAAGACGGTTTACTGGGCATACATGTATCATGGATGGAGCTCAGCAATCACACAACACGACGTAACAGTTACACATGCCATTGGCACTGTAACTGGTATTATACTTAGGTGTTATGATTCAGTTCCCCGGTAATTATTATACACAGTATCACCACTGGTGTCCGGAAGGATTTGAAGTGTGGCGAAGAGCCGATCTCTCCAACAGCAGCTTGCCACAGCCCCGAAGGGCCGGACCTGGCGAAGGCTGAACTCACCTGTACCTGCGTGTCCATCGTACTGAGTTCGCAATAAAACGGATACATGCACTACAAAGTCTACAGCACGAGCACCCCACAACATTTAATGGGGTGTGCCAGTTGTGCCATTTGATGTGAACCCAGTCCTTTCACGTCCACAGCATACACGCCAGTCCGTTCACGTTCACAGCATACACGCCAGTCCTTTCACGTTCACAGCATACACGCCACAACTACAGCTTGGAGTATCACTGGCTGCTAGCGGCCTCACGTATGCCTTGATTACCTTCTCCGAAACTGATGAATAGCACTACCTATCAGCATAATCATTGAATATCAGTACTGATGCTCCAGGCTCACACCTGAACGCATCCACCCAGATCGTTGAAAATGGCGCCTGGATAATGCAAAAGGGACATGGAGTCGCACCAAAACCGGCTTACAATGAAGGTAAGACTCCTTGAAAAGAACGAATCACGTTAGAATCTTCGTCCACTACTCGGTTGCATTTCTGTTTATCCAGTGCCGTTGCAGTGGTGATGCCTCGTCATTGGCCGAAACCTTTAGCAGCTGTCTGCAACATTGAGTAGTACGGTAATCACGATTGTGCAATCACGATTGTGCCGATTCGACTTCCACTTCGAAGTACATACATGAACATCATCCGTAGGCCGAGAAGGAATTCTCGGGATTCCACATGGCCTGCGTGAAGCCGCGGGCCGGTGGACACCGGAATGTGCGAAACTTCGGAACGTGCCAAGTGTTCCCCACGCCCTCGATCTGCCCTTTTCATGGGGTACACGCCAAAAAACCCCAGTGTCAGTCACAGAGGGCATCCCACCTCATGATCACGATCATCGACCTTCATTTAAAATTAAAATTACTGTTAGGGCCTGGTTGAGTACAGCAGGGCTGCAACATTCAATCTGTCTCTTTGTAAGCCTACTGTAAGCCTACTGTAAGCCCATGACTACAAGTACTGACTACTGTAACTAGCTTCGGCCAAGGCTGATCCCCTATGTACGCTGGTTTCTCCGGAGATTCGCTGATTGTTAGCTCGCTGGTCCATTGGAAAGGACGAAACTGCATGTACCCGGATAGGAGCTTCACGGGAGATTTGCATGATACTTGTGCGGCCTCAAGGCTCAACCCTCTCTCATGTTTACTGTATAATTATGCTCGGTCTCGTGCTTCAGCTATCTCAGGGGCTGCACTGCCATACTGGCTGCTATTGGCGCACAGTCATGCACTCCCGAACCCGGTGGCACTGTGGAAGATTAGAATGTGCGATAAACTGAGCTGATTGAGCAAGACAATTAGAACACAATCTGTGTCAAGGGAAAGCCTCATGAAGCCGTACTGCATGGCAGCCTAGGCGACGTGGTGCTGACGGTGAATGTACAATGTAAGTAGTGGATTTGACGCCTAGAGAGCACCTGCTGCATTCCCACTACCGGCGATGTCATGGCATGAGGAATTGTGCAACTCTAGCCGGTACTCGAAGCTCTGGAACACTACGGAAAACTGCAAATGACTGACGTTTATTACAATACCCTCTTTCAGCATAGAGTTCATGTCACGTACATCTACGCCGACGGCCATCTCAAGTTTCTATTCCAATAAAATACTGCTTTTAAATGATTACCGGGTATCTTCCCTTAGTCTTGCATGCCCCATTTATCAGATAGTTGCCCCAAGTGAAAATCCAACACCTTCTCTTCTTTTATAGTACCTCATGTTCTGCAAATGGTTTGTTGCCGATTTCTTTGATAGCGACCTTTCCGGTGAGCATCCCGAAAGAACCCCTCTCTCCTCCCTTTTTCACACAGATCAAAAGTTGCTGTTCCTCGCCCTGTCACCGACATGTACATGTAAATTGTGTTGTATCACTGCACTGTATGCTGAATATCATAGGGGGCACACACGGAAGACAGACAAAGCCACTCCGGATTAGGTAACTGGTTGCAACTCCGTGCTTCATCGGTTGCCTGAAGATTGCTCTACATTGTAGGTGCTTGCTTGAAGTATGGAGTGGCAATCTTACACATCTGCATGCAGGGACATGGCAATAGTGTGTTGATCTGTTCTTTTTTTCTTTTTTTTTCTACAAAATCCACATATCTCCAGACACTGGGGTGAATGATGGAGTCTTTGTGGCGACTGTCGATTTTTCTCCTTTACAACTCCCTCGAGCTAATGAAAGATGGGTTCTTTCCGGGCTTGACTATGTCCCTTCCAATAATGTAACGTAACAGTTCAATCGGAAGCGATCACGGATAGCATCAGGCGGAGTGAATGTCGTTGAGATATACACGGATATGCAGGTATGATGTCAGCACATGAATAATCATATCTTGGCCGTTATTAAGTCCGCACTGTCTTCACAGGAGTAACGTTGTTAGTAAAGGTATCAACTATCAAGACAAAAAGGTATTATTATAAAATAGAGGAAAACACTAGCTCAAACAGCTCAAAGTTCCCGCGATGTTTTCTCAAGGTCCATCATATCGAGCACAGCTAGGAATTGGTCTATGTTCAACACTTGTGCAATTGTGACTCCCAAGCATAATTTATCCTGACTTGTATCACATACACTCTAGTCTAGACTGTGCGTTACCAGTCAGTTTGATTCACAGCTCAAGACATCGTGCCAAACTAACTTTGCTATTGTCCTCTGGCCAGTGCTAGATAAACTGGCTGGTTGATATAAGCCTGAGGGGGCATGGTCTGGGCGGGCATGGACGGTACCAGAACATTTCCGAAAGGCCCAGGCATTGTAGCTGCTGTCTGCATGGCGGGCATCGCCTGGTGTGGTGGTAACAGACGATTGCTTCCAGGAGTAATTCCATTGTGCAGTGGAAGGCTCATCTGTGTTGGCGACTGCATAATGTGCTGGTGCTGTTGCTGATGTTGCTGGTGATGATGATGATGTCCGTTGATGCCTGCAAACGCCGCTGCTGCTGGTGCTGCCCCCGCTGGAGGCGTGGGCGGTGGTGGTATGTGATTGTGCACGAGTACAGTATGGCCCGGTACCATGGACGGCATGACAGTCGGCGCCTGGGTGTGAGGTGCTGCCATTGGCGTGTACTGGAGGTACTGCACAGCAGCAGCTGCAGCACTGGCATCGGCACCTGGCACTGCTGCTGGTGGTGGTGGTGGTCCGGTCACTGCAGGGTTCTCTCCGATAGATGCCGGTGATGTGTAGACGGTATTAGCGTAGAGATGGTGCGGAGCAATGCTTGTGCTCTGTGCGTAGAACATCGCTGGATTGACCATGGACAGGGAACTTCGGTTTGAAGACACTTCACTGGACCTGCAGGAGGGAATTCCTTGGCCGCTTTTCCTACTGTCATCTGAGTGGGACAAATACCACATTGAAGGACACGAAACTTAATTCAGTTTCATTGCGGGGGGGGGGGGGGGGGGGGGGACAATTCTTTTCCAAGCAAAGCACACGCCACAAGACATCAGAGCAAATCGCATTTTCCCTGTCCAACTTCTTGAAACTTGCATTGTAGTGAATGCAAATCCCCGGCTATCCAGCTGTGGTAAACGTTTTCAACCCCAAAGGGAAATCAGAGTAAATTGACTGAATGGCTGCCGGGTTATTGTGTTCAATGATTGGATTGTGGTGGGTGCTAGTAACTCACTTCTATTCACACTTGTATCACCACTGCTGCATGAACTCCTTCTGCTATTGTTGTTGACCTGGTTGTCACCGTGATGCGATGAGTTCAGGGAGCGAACTGGTCTACGCGTCGCCCCGCCATCCTCATCTTCCTCCTTTACCAGTTTCCTGGGTGGGCCTGAGCTGGTGTCAGGGTGCTGTCGCTTTTGGGGCGAGTTGAGCGGCAGGACCAGGCTTTTTCGCAAGCACTGCTGAGCTGGCTCCGACTGCCACAGCATGTGGTGGTTGCCCATGGCGGTGAGAGCTCCAGGACTGGCCATGGCAGGCTGCTCTCCACCATGCCCATTTACATCCACTATGCCATTCTCGCCCGACTGAATAGAAAGGAATGGTGAGTCATGAGGCCCACCATCGGCCGTTGGCTTCACAATTAATGGGCGAGCCCAGATGTTATTATCACGCTTGATCAGTTGCAGACCCATCTTTGATCGTCTTATATTCTCTTCTTTGATCATGCCAGGTAGAAGCCTCCGCCGGGCATTAGTAAACCTACAGAGGAGATGGGATAAAGACCGTCATATCTACTGATCTTCACTGATTGAGGGAATGGAAAAGGGAAATGTGTGTCTAGCGGTCGTGCAACGTAGTAAATATCTAGTGATGTACATATTTGTCTGGTTCAGTCAGTATTTCCCTGTCCATTTTGGAACATATTCACATGCACACATGCAAAATATGCAAGTCACGATACCACACACAACTCATGATCACTACTAGTATGCCATCTTTGTCGTTCTCATGTCCAAGGAGACAATCCAGGCTGTTTCCGAAATGACTCCGTATCCAACAAACCGAGCGTGTGCGTGTGTCTGTCTGTATGTGTCTGTGTGTGTGCGTGTGTGTGTCTGTATGTGTGTGCGTGTGTGTGTGCATGCATGCATCATGTATGCGTGAGTAAGCCGGATGGCTTTGACATTTTACAAAGCAGTCGTCGCGCACTCACCAGTAGGCCACTTGGATGAACTGCAATCCTGTTTCTTTTGCCAGCTTCTCTTTCTCAGATCGACTTGGATAGGGGTACTAGATCAACAAAGCAAGAGTAAGAAAGTTGAAGGACTAGAACAGGTGCATCAACATGAACATTATCTCCGTGAAACATGACAAGAAGATAAATATTACCCATACCCATACCCATAGACACTTGGTAACGTGTTGATTGCTGGCAACATGGCCATTTTTGTGCAAGTCAAGTTGTCGACTTTGTCTACCACTAGAGAATTGTCACTAACACTGCCAAAGGAAGTCTGACCTGTCTGATCGAAACAGTTCAGGAAAGATCGTAGCTGGCTCGGGATGACAGCAGGACATGACCCCAGGGCATGGCTCAAACGGAACTGTGACTGCATCACCATCGCACCATGCCAAGTTACTGAACCAGGTTGATGATGATCACCAATTACCATGGCCCCATCAGACACAATTCCTACTGTAGAATTTATAGAGACCATCCTCCCCATGAAACAATGAGCCAGCCATTTTCCTGTACTGCCTACGTTTGAAGTTGCCAAGCCCAAAGTGAAGGAGTATGCTTTGTCTAGGAACTGGGTCTTTTTTGCCCACCCAACCAGTGCAATGCCAGACAAGACATTCAGAGATCACCGCGGAAACGTGACGATGCCCCATACCACTGTCAGTGCTCCCTTCACGTTTTAAACCATCCTTGCCGATATAGAGGAATATGTCCTAGCGAACAATGGGTGGAATGGATCATGAGGCAGGGATAGGTTCTGGAACGGATGCATGTAACAATGAATGCGCTGCTCAGAAAAGTAGGGGAGAACGAGTAACAGATGGTAAGCGCACTGAAGCAATGTTATGTCCATAGCAAAGTGAGCCAAACAATACTTTCATCTTTGGTTCTTTTAAACAGGCAACGGACCTAGTAAACCTACTTCAGAAACGTCTTGATGAGCCCCATGATCTATGCTAATACCCGTAAAGTCTCCCAGCCTGCGGGCATCACGTTGTAGACTCGGCTGCAGGCATAATGCTGCTAGTTACTGGTGTGTGTTCGAATGTTTCTAGACAATAGGCATCCAACTAGATAGCTGATACCCAGGAGGACCTCGCAAGCAGTATACACTGCCATGTGCCAACAGCTTTGTATGCTGATTGCCCAAGAGAGGGACATTATTATCACTACATACGAATGGCACGAGTACCAGTACATGTAGACTCGACCTCAGCTGTTGTACTTACCAAACTAGTACACATTTAACACTGCATGCATGATTCTACTGCTGGCGAAACGGACATGCACCTCGTCAACTGGTGTGTGGAGGTGCTCACTGCTTACCTGAAGATGGGTTTGCATCCACTGGCGAAGGTGAAGTTGAACTTCGTCTGAGTGAGCAGCTCTTTTCTTTTCATCGTGGCTCCAGCTGCTCCCGATGGATTCCACATCATCCGCATCGTCATCTACTGGTAATGGGCACAGCAAAGAGCATGGAAAAGAGCTCGGGAAGGCAACTTTTGTCGTGGAGAAGCATGAGCAGCGACAATCTGAGTCAGAACCAGTACAATTGTGGTATTTCATATTCTACTTTCAATGGGAGTCTCGGCGGATCGGATGAGCCAGTGCGTTCACGCCACCTGGCAGCAGATACCTACAGCATGCTAATTCTAAAGGGTGGAATGGATCCTGCATGTATTTGTCGTCCCAGAGTGCATGTTATCTTCCTTCCTTCCTGGGAAACCAATGAAACAGTCTACGCCTACTCCGGTGCAGCTTGCTGGACGTGGTGAAGTCGGCGAATAGTTCCATCTCTTATCTATCTATCTCTCTACTCAATGCTGTATCGATCTCTCTAGGTAACTACCTAGGAGTCCATGGCTTAGGTATCATAATTATTATTATCAATCGTTTGAGCCTTGAAGCATGGCTTGAAGTTGGTGTACTTGCTCATTCATCACCTGACATGGGACACTGGAGCATGCATATTGGTAAAAATGCCACCGTAGTACATTGTATCACCTTTGATATGGTGACGAAGAAAACAGTCGAGTCCTGGGTGTGAAGTGCCGCTTGGTGTTTGGTAGGGTTTTGGTACTGGATGCCCATGATGAGTGTGTGGAAAGCTAAACCAGGAATTAGTTAGATCAAGACCTCTTCGCTCAAACACGGGCACCAGCAACAGGTGTTAAGCTTGCTCTTTGCTTGCTGGCTAATCCAGTTTGAACAACGCCAGGGCAGTGTGGTATGAAGCTCACTAGCACTTTGCCGAAGGGTACAAACTTGCAGTATACTATACTAGTACAGCACTAGTACCCTGTTGTCATCATACAACATGGCCTCTTGCCAGCTTACAACAGGCCATGGTTTACGGACATCGTGCGGCGGAGTGCACGATTCCTGATGGTTCCATTCTGTATCATCTCCAGTCTCTGTGATTTTCAGCCATTCTAGTGGGGTTTTTTTTAGGTGCTACGTTGAGGCTTCCACATGGATACACTAATTCGTCGATGGTTCCATCCTGTATCATCTCTCTGTGATTTCAGCCATTCTAGTGGGCTTTCGAGGTGCTACGTCGAGGCTTCCACATGGATGTACTAGTTCTTCCCAAAGTTCCCAAGGAGATAGGAGATCACGGTGGTTGTAGGTCTCTAGAAGGGTCGGTACACATACATGTATCCACATTACTCGGATGACTAATGGGTGCTTTTAACACGAAACTCAGAGTTACGGAAAGACGTTTGGTCTCTGTTGTTTTGACTTTGTGTATCAACAGTGTGTACGTAGGAACATGCAACAACCATTGGAAGACATGGCTAACTATTGTCCCTGGTCATATGTGAAGTATGCAAGAGACACCTCCTCCCTGACCGGATGTTGACGCCTAAATTGAGATACCACCACGCTACTAGTGTCCGCGCGAGCGTCTTACCTTTTCTTGGGCATGATGTTGACCTCTCAGATGCAGAGCGGCTCACAGGTTGGCGGCTAGCTTCGTTCTCCTCGCCCGTGCTTGGCTCCATGCTGCGCGGTTGCCAGTCAGACACTGGGACAGTCAGAGCGAGGTCAATGTGTACTTGACGGCGGACCGTGAGGATGTGTCGAAAGAGGGAGACAGGGACACCAGTTTCACTTACTTCCTGGATGACACTGGTGCTGCTGGGCGAGCGCAAACGCTGACCTGCGCTGTGCCTGTGGCCCTGGCCGAGACAGCAGTACGTCTGTAGCGGTACAGGAGACGTGTCAGGAACAGAGACACAGACACACGCACTGCACTCCTAGTCCTACTCGGCATAAGACATAATTCACAGCGTAATCGTTTACGTGTAACACTCTAGTCAGGAGCGTACACGACATGTGCCGTCACTCGCACCAAGGAGCGTTTTATGGACAGCCCAGAAAGGTGGCGCTCGCGGCGGGTTAGACTAGAGTCGAGGAGCGGATAACTTAGCGGCGGTTAGACATCACGGAAGGTTTCATAGCCACTCATAGGTGCTCAGTGCAATATATGTGGTGGTGTTCCTCCGGCTCAACATTCGGTAATCTCTGGATGCGGGACTGCGCATTATCACCCCCACACTCCACAAGAGCGCCTCCGACATGCATGTCATTCTTACGTACGTGGATTAGGTATGCTCCCCCCCCCCCCCCACTGTAACTAGCGCTTTACGTATCAGTCCGTTTGAGGACCTCCCCTTGCATAATCACATACCGAGTATGGCTTACGCGATATGATTATCTGAAGTGAGAAATGTGCCTGGATCGGACCACCTACGGAACAGCAGTCGTGGGACTGGGCCTTAGGCATAACCTAGCATTAGGTAAGGTGTTGTTGTTGTTGGTGGTGCTAGTGGGGGCCATTCGACGACTACACGTGAAACGGTCATATAATGAAACAGAACACAGTCAGCACTCCGGTGCACCATTGTCTTCCACTCAGTCAAGACGAGAAACTACTTGATTGCCTTCATGCACACTCAGCGGCCACTCAGAGCACTCGACACCCTCGACACGATCCCTTGTGCAATTGCACCAGTGCACTAGTGCCAGGCATGAAATGTGCCCCATAGGATAATTATGTGATATGCTAGGAATTACTCACAGCTGACACTGTCCCTGACGCGCTCTACTTGAAGGCGAGCGGGATTGGCGTGGCGAGATGCAGAAAGGAGCAGCAACATACACCACCACCACCACCACCACCACCACGGGGTCAGCAATGCAGCTACACACGTTCAATGAGTAGGTGACATTCCACTCTTGCTGACCAGGTATGAGTGACTATTACGCGCGTTTCTTCAGGTGGACGATGCGGAGCTGCGGACAACCACTATACTGTCTATAGTATTCATCATGCTAAGAGCATAGAGCAGCAGCAGCATCCAGTCACCAGTACTATTAGTATTACTACTATACTAGCATCACATTAGCACTAGAGTATGGATGTCGCCTTGACTGTATGCCAGTGAAGAGAGAAAGTAGGGCTACGAGTGGCTAACAGAAGAAACGTGTGTGTGACAGTGCTGCAACAGATGACATCCTATTTCATTGCAATTCTCTTAACTGGCAGAAATATTCGTGTCCTTCAACTTACTTGATTGTCGCGCGCTGCATGCGCTGCAGGACGGGAGGTCCCGCTGCGCGACACACGGTGGCACCAGTAGTAGTACGGGCAAAGAAGGAGACTGTTGCCTATGGCAGTGTGCGAGATAACTAACTAAATACTATTACTAGCATTAGCAAAGCTGGTACAAGCAGCATTGACTACTATACTGCACGGAGGCCTGTCGTCGTGACGTCGTCATCATCATCAGACATCACCACCTTCATCGTGGCTGTATCGGCGATTGCACATCATGATCTGGTCTGCGGACGTCGCTGGCCAGGACTACGGCAATGCGAGCTAGCTAATCCGATGCCCGTGTAAGTGCGTGGCGGTACTGCCTATACTGGTGCTGTGGGGGGCATGTTGCCCTGCGTATCCATCATTAATGTGTATTGCTTAGTGCAGGCAGATATGCAGGTACATGTACGTCTTCTAGATGTCTAAGAAGGTCCTGACCCTTTTTGTTTCTCCCATTGACGACCACCTAGCTGACGACCAATCTAGCTGACGACCAATCTAGCTAGCCAGAAGGTACTGCTGTAATGCACGGCAATTGGACAGATCTGACAACAGCTCGACCGGTTGTCACGTCTAACTAAGCAGATTCCCTCGAGTTGGCCGGCTGCTGACTGCCAGCTCTGCAGCAGCCATTTGCTGACTTAATGCAGCAGCACGTCCACTTCAATATCGCTTTATGATTTCACGTGACATGGCGTTACAAGTGCGATTGTTTCTCGTTTCCCGCTCACACACCATGTTCGTACAAGCAGGCAGCGTGTATCTTGACACGGACGTCGTCCGTGTCTCGGGCGCGGAAGCTGCGACACAGCATGCATGTAGATCTACAATACATTGAATGATTCCCTTCCCCGTTCTACAGGTAGACCAGCCTACTGCACCGTCACGTCTGGCCGTCGGTAGTCCTGTCGTCGCGGCTTTTATCCTTCACGAGGAAATCCTACTCTTCGCATGTACACTGCACTATTAATTTTCTTACTGACACCACAAGCATCAGTCCGTAATTGCTAACCCGACACCCGTTGACATTTTCATCAACTTCTTTTCTTCTTTTTTTACCAATCACAGAAATGCTATTAGGAGGGGGGTGTTGGGCGTAGAGCGGATCTGCTCTTTCCCGATGACTCTGCAATTATCGAACTCGTTTTCATCAGCAATGCTTGCTAGCTAAGTTCTCGTCTTGATTTGGATGGTGTGATACACAACTACTACATAGTGATTATTATTGTTGTAGGTTGGCAAGCAGTTGCCTTGTCCAATGCTACTGACAGGACGAAGCTTATCGGAGCAACACCGCTGGCCACTCTGTTGGCGTTACGCTACATCAACGCGTTTGGCAGGCCTGAATTCCTCGCCACCTCAGAGCAACACAACTACTCCAGTGCCAGTGGCTCAGTGCCAGTGCTGGATCTTCTGACTGAAAGTCTTGGACATAATTATTAGGCGCTTGGTGACGAGCTTGCACCTTGCAGAGCCCCCGGCGCGGTCATCAGCTATTCTGACATGGTCATACCTGTGCTGTGGACAAGTCATCAGTCATAATCATGAGTAGATCTACTGCTAGTCTTCCTCTCCTCACGGTCGACTGACGAATGGCGGTACCGGTACGGGAATACTCTATCACTGGCGAATGGCGGTGCGTACATGGAATACGCTATCACTTGTATCAAGACAGCTAATACCCTTCTCAAAGTTAGAAGAGGAAAAGCCTTCCTGGTTTAGGCTAGCCTGGGCTCAGTAGTCTACGCTGGGTGAAGATATCCCACAGATGTTACCAGAAGAACCCAAGAATTCAAGATGGCCGTCTTTCTTCCACTCACTCTTACAGTCATTCAGTTCCAATGCCAGCCTTTGCCAGGCACCCACCTCATGGCCGATTGTGGATGCGTGTACGCTGGAATCATAGAAATTAAGTGCTACATTGTTACTTGTACATTGTAGTACATACCCCCCCCTCACACACACACACACACACACACACACACACACACACACACACACACACACCTGTCCTGTCCTGTCCTGTCCTGTCCTGTAGAGCCACTGCCACAGGAGTCACGTGGGCCCCGGAGGGGCATCAGAGACTCACAGAGAGAGGAAGTTGGAGCGCGCAGCCTGATGACGCCGGAGATGGTGGAGCAAACAGAACCGGCGAGAACACACGCATACACATATACACCACACACACCACGCATACACGCACACACACGCACGCACACACACACACACACACACACACACACACACACAAACTCTCTCTCTCTCTCTCCAGGATGCCTACCACAGCCTCAGGCATTACATTCAGGGCCGCCGTCACGGCAGTCACGTGAGTGTCACTCGCCCACGCAGTCCAGACAGAAAATGTGTTACGATTGTGCACGTGTGCAGTGTGACTGACCTGTCAAGCAGACTGTGCGTGTCAGTGTAACCACAATGTTAGTCAAGTCACTTGGTAACCAGGTAACGGGTAAGGACTGCGTCTGGGAGGTGTGTTTTCAGTGACTGTGTACAATCGTGCTCTTTCACTCTCATGTCTCACTACCGACTGACACGTAACCGTTGTAGAGTGTACCGTAGTAACACATTCTAATCATGAACCCCAGAAGACGCCATTGTTGGCTTCTACATGCATGGTGACAGCTTCTCGTACTCGTAGTGCCTGTAGTGTAGTAGTGGTGGTCTATAATTATTCTTTTTGTTTGGATTCAAGGCACGGACGCAGAATACAGTCTTTTTTCACAGATGTGTCATGTACATGTACAATGTAGGTTTGTGTAACTTGTGTTGCTGCTACTTCAGCACTTGTAAATTGTACAATGTACAGAATCTTCATTGCATTTGCAGTTCGACTAAAAACTACACTAGCAATATGTAATGTCTGCACGAGTATTCCTGTCTACATCGTGTATAATTATGTATGTCTGAATATGCTGAAGTTTCCATGTTAGTTGTTGCAATGTTAGACGTGTTGATCAACTACAAGTTGACACAGGTCTCACCACAACTCACAAGGCAAGAGCTGCATGAATGCGCCGGGGTTAGGAATAGCGTGTGACTGTGCACGGAGCAGCTGTACAATTACAGGTATGCCCATTAGCCTTAGGTTTTCACCAGTTTAGCCCCATAGACCATAGTGGCATTTTAGAAGGGGCTATAACTTCATTTATGTGCTCTCTGGTTCAATCAGAATGGTAGGAACATTAGCACGCACATGTACATTGTATTTATTTCGTTAGTTGAACTGCATGTGAAGGGCAGACGCAAGCGCAATGCAGTGTACTAGTAGATACACATACAATGTCGTCTTACATGTCCAGGCATGTACACTATACATGTCCAGGTACACTATAGTATAGGTGCCGCGGCACACGTTGTAGTCTTTCCCGTCGGGCTTCTGTATTTCCATCGTATTTATTGAATTTTTAGGACCTGGATTACCCAAAGGCTCTAGGCCTGTCGAGGGATCTCCTACTCAGGGAAATAATTGCATACATACATGTACATGCACGTTGTACATATTCGGGAAACGGTAAAGCAAGGGGGAGGAAAGACTGGCAGCTACATGCGTGTACTGCATCAGCGAGCATGGTCACAGAGTGTATTATACTCGGGCCCATTGCAATCAGATAACCATAATAGTCGTGTACATCATCATTGTATATGTGCATGTCTGTTCTGTTCAATACTAGTCTTATTACAGGTGATATTCTCACGTGTTAGCCAAGGTGTTCATGTACATGTACGTGCATGATGGAGGTAGAGGGAAGGGGGGGGGGGGCAATGATGGCAAGATATACAATGTACAATCGTGTACAATGACCGCCACCTCACTGAAACGATAACCGTCACTTCACTTGAGAGACGCCACAAAGAAATGGTCGGTGTCATGAGATAAGGCCGAGCGTTGGCCTCGTATGCACTCATACTGTGCATGCATGCCATTCTGGTGGCACTTAAAGTCTTTTGAAACGTCCCTTTGCTCTTACAAGTACAAGAGTAACTGTCCTCGTCAATCTGCTACCTACAACCGTGGCACGACCGACGATTGGTAACATTGTCAGACAGGGAGTCAGTGTACGTACATGTACATGTACATGTAGGTAACTAGCAGCTAATCGTGGCGACCAACTAACGACGCATTACAGCTGGCGATGCAGCTGACGTGCTAGCTAATTACATCCTGTACATTGCATTATGGGATGCCAGACGATCAGCATGGGCTGCATTGTCTTCCTTGGCAGCAATGCTCGAATGCACGTAGATACAAACCGGGATCGTAGCAGCTACCCAGTGTTCTAATCTAGGAGACCGCAGTTCACATGTGGAGTTCAAATCGACAAAGACTCTCTTGCTTTAGTCACATGACGTACTTAAAGCAGAGAGCGGTGACCAAGCCAATTTTCATCAACGTCAGAGAGCCGGCTTGACGAAGTGACAAAGTCAGGATCGGGCATCATCGAGATCGGCTCGTCGAAAGGCGCCATAAGATCATAACTATAATAGCGTGGGTTAAATTCCTCGCGTACACAAGTACTTCAAGGTATACAGGCAGCATGCATCATCTCCGGCCTCTTTGCATACCATTCCTCCGGAAAAATGATGTGCATGTACTCTGTACTATGGGAATGTGGAAACATCTCGCAGCGTGTAGCCATGTACCTGTGTGTATCTGTATGTGGCTGCGCATAACCCACTAGCAGCAACTGCCTAATCTACCTAAGGTACAAAGGTCCTTTGTAACGTTATTCCGAGTAGTTGACTTCCACTGTTGAAAGCAGTGCCCCGGGGCCGGGGGTTGAGCAGTCTAACACGGCACTAATCAGGAGCCATTGCCAGTGGACCACAAAGACCCCCAACTCTACCTCTGTATTCAAGCCACGATTGTCTTCTTGACGAAAATTTGATGAAGATGCAAATGCAAGAATACACTAGAGCCGTAGAGGATTCAATGAATTCCAATGCACTAGTACCGGTGCAAGCTCTTCTCGCTCCATGTTCTCTCTCTCTCTCTCTCTCGAAGTATGTGCTACTTT